AATCAACAACAACTCAACTCCAAATTAATTATGATGAACAATAGCAATTGGCTATACAATTCAATTTCTGTATATGGATAATTCATAAATATCAGGTAATTTTTATCCTTAATATCAACCTATCGTAATTTTCTCATTTTACTCAAATGTTGGACAGCGTTAGGCCTCACGGAACTGTTTTATGATCAAACTTAATTAATCAATTGGAATTATATTGATTAAGACCAATTCCAAACTTCCAAACTTCGTTGATTAAGACCAATTCCATTACTATGGATATGTATTTGATTAAGACCAATTCCAAACTTCGTTGTCGCTTACTACAAAAATATAATTTCTTCGCTGAAATGATTAACTTATACAAGCTAGTAATTGTATTAAATTATATTGTTGACGAGCAAACTACAGGAGTAGCTACAAATAGACAATGCTTACCAACAATGAGCTTTAAGTCATATTACCAAAAATAGCCAATAAAATTGTCAATGATCTACACCGTACAACAGATCTAGGCAAAAATAAACAAATAAATGGGTATGGTTGGAAGTATGTCGAAAACACATAAACGAGTTAATATACAAAACTAGAGAAGGATTGGATATGATAGGACGAGTTTGAAGTCAAAATTTGTTATCAATGATATACGACAAACAAAAGACCTAGGCGAAAAAGTTATTTTTAAAGGGTATGGTTAGAACATATTGAAACCACATAGATGAGGTGATTAATTTACAATTGAGAAAGATTGGATTCGATCTTATTTCATATTGCTGCTGCTTGTTGCAATTACATTTTCTTTTTCAGTTGTTCTCTAGCCGAGGGTCTATCGGAAACAGCCTCTCTGCTCTTCCAGGGTAGGGGTAAGGCTACGTACATCTTACCCTCCCCAGACTCCACTTATGGAAAACTACTGGGTTTGTTATTTTTGTTGTATTGGAGGTGATTTGAACTGGTTTGGAGTCAATATTCGTAGTTGAAATCGAGTTTAAAATTTTTCTCTGCAACACATGTACCTAATATATATCTCACATGTATCTTGTCGAGATTTCAGATGAGAATCAAGCTCCACACCTCCTTCAATGGAGGATTCTAAGCTTCTAGAAGAAGCTTGTAGAGAGAGAAAGAGAGATGCTGAAGAATCCGATAAAATGTGAAAAATGAATCTGTATTCTATGTACTAGGGACTGTTCAGTAAATATACATGTGACATTTTCACTAACTAACCCATCTGTGTATTAACGCTAACTAATACTAACTAATGCTGACTCAGCACACAATTATACAACTCAGTACAATTATACAATTACAAAGATAAAATAAATACTCAGTCTTAATACCCTCCCCCCCCCCCCCCCGTTGGATGTGAGAAAATCACACCCAACTTGCTAAGAACAGAGTAGTGTTTGATCCCTGTGAGAGCTTTCGTAAGCACATCTTCCAGTTGCTGGCCAGTGCCAATATGGTACAAAGAGATGAGTCCTTCCTGAAGTTTGGTATGCATAAAGTGATAATCTACTTCAATGTGCTTAGTCCGTTACTGGAACACAGGGTTCCTAGCAATGTGCAGGGCAGAGAGACTGTCACAGTGCACATGTATTGGCAAACAAATTGACACAGTAAGTTCTTCAAGCAGTCTTGACAGCCAAACAAGTTCCCCAACGACTTTCTAAGGGCTCTGTATTCTGCTTCTGCTGAAGAGAGGGATATTGTTTCTTGCTTCTTGGATTTCCAACTGATGGTGCTGCCACCTAAGAACACAACATAGCCAGACACTGATCTTCTAGAATCTGGGCAGGCTGCCCAATCAGAGTCACAATAGGCAACTAGTGAGAGATCATTTGCATTGCTGAAATATAGTCCTAGAGTAGGATCCTTCTTTAAGTACCTCAGCACATAGTAGGCTGCCTGTAGGTGGGGCTCCCTAGGGTCTTGCATAAATTGACTGAGATGTTGGACTCCATATGCTATGTCTAATCTAGTGTTAGTGAGGAAGTTTAGTTTTCCAACTAGCTTTCTGTAGAAGGTAGGATCAGACAATGGAGCCCCCTCTTTTGCTTTCAACTTTATTGTAGGATACAGAGGAGAAGTCAAGGCTGGAGAATGAAGGCACTCATATTCCTTCAACAAGTCCAAAACAAATTTTCTTTGTGAAATGATGATGCCATCTGATTTGTAAAGGATTTCTAATCCCAGGAAATAATGCAACTGTCCTAAGTCTTTAATTTTGAACTTGTCATGTAGAAAGGCCTTAAGCTGATTGATTTCTTCAGAGTCGGTCCCTGTGAGCAACACATCATCTACATACACTGCTACAAAAACAATATAAGAACCATGTTTTCTGTGGAATAAAGAATACTCATTTATGGAGTGTGTATACCCCCTTGAATACAGGACTTCAGTCAATTTATCATACAATTGTCTTCTTGCCTGTTTCAGTTCATAAAGAGACTTTTTCAACTTGCAAACTAAACCTGGAGATTGTATCTCAAGGCCTGGAGGAGCTTGCATATACACCTCCTCATGCAGATCTCCATGGAGAAATGCATTGTTAACATCCAGTTGTGAGATTTGCCATTTCTTCTTCGCTGCTATGGCAATGAGAGACTGATAGTGGTCATCTTGACTACAGGAGAAAAAGTCTCTGTGTAGTCTACACCAGCTTGTTGAGTATACCCCTTAACCACTAACCTTGCTTTGTATCTTTCTACACTACCATTTGCTCTATGTTTGACTTTATACACCCATCTACGCCCAATAGCCTGTTTTCCTTTAGGTAAGGGGACTAAATCCCATGTGTTATTAGCATACAATGCTTCAAATTCCTGTGTCATGGCACTCTGCCAAGCAGGGTACATAGCTGCTTCTTCATATGAAGTTGGTTCTCTATCATTGCAAATGTTCTTTACAATGTGCTGACTATTAGGATGTAGGGCATCAAAAGCAATGTGGTTATTATGGGAAAATATGGCATGTAATGAGAATTTAGAATTAGATTTTAGGTTTGGTATATTGCAAACATAGTCATTTAGATGTGAAGGAAATTTATGTTCCCTATGAGACCTTCTAAAAACCAGTGATGCCTCCAGTAACTGTTGAGGGGCAGTTATGTCTTGAAAGTGTTCTACTGGAACCCGTGTCTCATATGAGGAAGAGATAGGTGAAGAAGTGGCTGGTAATGCTTCAGGACTTAGGAAGTTAGTGTTCTCCTGGTCACTGATGCTGTGGGAGATACAAGCATCAGTGTGATCATATGGATTATCAGTGTGCATTAGGAAAGACATGTGGAATATTGTTTACAGTAGAGTTGAAAGTGAATGGAAAGATTGACTCATAGAAGGAAACATATCTAGAGATATGTATTTTCTTAGTAGCTAGACTTAGCACCTTGTACCCCTTTTGTACCAAAAGGTTATCCTAAAAAAACATGTGAGGTAGTTCTTGGTTCAAGTTTATCTCTGAGAGGCTTTGGTACAGTGGGATAACACAAGCATCTAAAACTTCTCAAGTGAGAATAATTGGGCTTTTTCTTGTACAAGAGTTCAAAAGGATATTTATTCTTTAGAGGAGTAGTTGGGAGTCTATTAATGAGGAAGGTTGTTGTGAGTATGCACTCTCCCCAATATTTCAATGGTAACTTGGATTGAAAAAGTAGTGCCCTGGCCACTTCAAGAAGATATTTATGTTTTCTTTCCACCACTTCATTTTGTTGTGGTGTGTAAGGACATGTCTTTTGGTGGTTTATTCCCTTTGATTGAAAGAAAGAGGTTGCTTCATTGCTGGTGAACTCTAGACCATTGTCAGACCTTATACATTTGATGGTGGTTTGGAATTGGTTTTCCACCATGCTCACAAAAGCCTTTATTACTTGTAGGGCATTGCTTTTGCAACTCAAGAGAGGTGTCCAAGTGGATCTACTATAATCATCTACCAGAGTAAGAAAGTATTTGAAATTATTGTGTGTGGCCACATGATAGGGGCCCCACAAATCCACGTGGAGTATTTCAAAGATTTCAGTGGTCTCGGTTGTTCTCTGGGGAAAAGGTAATCTGGACTGTCTGGCCATAGGATAAATGTTGCACATGAAGGGTTGTTTGGTAGAAAAGGTTACAGGGATAGTAGGAATTCCTTTCATTTTACTAAAGGGTACATGAACACTGTCTTTATTATTACTGTTGCAGATGGAATTATTTACAATAGGAAATGAATTGTAAGATTGGGATAGACAGTGTACAGTATTTGCATCATCAGCATAACAGAATAACAAGGAATATCACAATCTTTCTCAGGTGTGAGACCACCTTTCTTCAAGCACTTAGAACATAGGAAGTACAACCCATCATACAACTTACCAATCTCCAGAGGCCTCTTCAGTGAAGGGGCCTACAGTAGACAGGAAGTGTCAGAGAATGATGCAATGCATTGGAGATGTATTGCTAGGGAACTGATAGACACTAGGTTAAATTTGAAGGATGGAATGAACAAGACTCTATACAGAACAATCTTAGGTGTCAGGAATACATTTCCAATTTCAGTTACCTTGACTTTGTAACCACTTGGAAGTTTAACTAACAAAGGATATGGTAGGCATACTATGTTTTGTAGGTGAGTTTTGTTAAAAGTCATATGGTGTGATGCCCCGGAATCTAATATCCATAAGTCAGCTTTTGCACTAAAACACTTGCATGATGGATCATCAGAATCAATTGAAATGTACAAGCAATCATACCTGCAAAGTTCACTGATGCTCTACTAGACATGTTTGCACTAGCTGGATTCTCTCCGGTATTTCCCATCTGAAAATGCTGCAACAAGTTAACAATCTGCACATACTGCTCCTTTGAGAGGCTCATGCCTTGATTTTCTTCCTGATGACTCAATTCTTCTCCTCTTTCCACATTTGTGACTGCATTAGCCATGGCATTCTTTCCTTTGTTGAACCTTATATTGTTGTTATATCCTTGAGAATTTTGCTTGTACTGTTGTGGTCCTTGATTGAATCCCTAAGGGTATCCATGCAGCTTATAGCACTTGTCCTTAGTGTGACCTTGTCGTTTGCAATAGTCACAAAAAGGTCGGGGTCTACTATTTGTAATTTGATTTCCAGTCCCAGCTAAGTAGTTTGTCTTGAAGCTTCTTCCTCCTAGGCTGACATTCAATGCCGTGGAATCAACATTTAGTTGGTTTCTTGGCTTAAATTCTCTTTGCTTTTCCTCCTGTATCAGAAGAGCAAATGCCTGTGCCATAGATGTCAAAGGATTCATCATAAGTATGCTTCCTCGAACAACCGTGTATACTTCATTGAGTCTCATTCGAAATTGTATCAATCTTCTGTCTTGTTCTGCCTTATGCATACTTTCCTTCTCCCCATAGGTACACACACAACTACAGTGAGTTTTGACGCTGAGAGTGTTTAATTCTTCCCAGAGTTTCTTCATTTTTGTGTAGTAGCCAGTGATATCAAGCACGCCCTGACTCAAATCATTGATCTCTTTCTGAATTTGATACAGTTTAGCTCCGTTTGTCTGATCATATCGATCCTCCAATTCTTTCCACAATTCAACAGAATCATTCACATATTCGACACTGTCAGTGATGTCCTTTGACAAAGAATTTAAGATCCAGGAGGTGACCATATTGTCGCACCTTTCCCATTGACGAAAATGTGGAGATGTTACATTGTGTCTTCTACTATCTCCATTGATGAAACCTAACTTGTTTTTCACTGAAAGAGCTCTGAGTACACTTCTTCTCCAGGAACAGTATCCAATTCCATCGAATGGAACAAAAACTAGTGTGGAACCCGGACTATCAGAAGGATGTATGTAGAGAGGGCTATCAGCATCAATTACCGTCTGTGTTGTCGCTGTCATGGTTGTTTCGTCCGTCTACTCTGTGATTGCCATAGAAATTTTGTGAAAACAGTTGAATGATCCTCGTATAGTTGAGATTTCTTCTATTTGTCAATAAATCGTCACTGCATGTGTCCGATTTAGTTTTTCCCCAAATTCTAACTAATGAAGGAAAAACCCTAGATTGCTTAGTGATTAGAAACAATAGAACGAGAGAAGGCGTGGTCGTCAATAGAACCTCTACTCTGATACCGTGTCAAGATTTCAGATGAGAATCGAGCTCCACACCTCCTTCAATGGAGGATTCTGAAGCTTCCAGAAGAAGCTTGTAGAGAGAGAAAGAGAGATGCTGAAGAATCCAATAAAATGTGAAAAATGAATCTGTATTCTATGTACTGGGTACTGTTAAGTATATATACATGTGACATTTTCACTAACTAACCCATCTGTGTATTAACGCTGACTAACCCAAATTTTTAAGTTCAAATTTAAGTGAGTTTCAATAGACTTTTAATCAGGATTTTATCTCATCTTCTTCACTTTTAAAGTAACCAAATAGTGTTCTAATCTCCACTTCAAATGTTATATTTTGTCAGATTTAAAGTGCACTCCTACACATAGGTATTTATATCTTTGTTGACTCAAAGAAAATATTAGTGGAGAGATGATAAAAGTAGAAACTAAAAAGAGAGGATAGAATCTGTGTCACTCAATTCTAATCACCATAAGCGAACTAAAAATAAAAGATTAGTATTTCTACTTCTGTTATGATCAATTTCAAGGTATGGGACTTGAGTCCCACATCGGTATGGCAATGTGCTGATGTGGGGTTTATATAGCTTTGGGCTCTCCCACCTTAATAGCTAGCTTTTGGGGTGTGGATCTCCCTGGGTTGTATCAATGCTATCAGAGCCACCCACCGCCCTCCGTGCCTACCGTGCCATGGATAGTGACGCTAGTATTGCAGTGTTCACCCGGGGCCACATCGGTATGGCAATGTGTTGATGTGGGGTTTATATAGCCTTGGGCTCTCCCACCTTAATATCTAGCTTTTGGGTTGTGGTTCTCCCTGGGTTATATCAACTTCTCACAGTTGAACGGAGTTTTAGCTCAATCGCCAAACAGATGTGTTGCGGAAGGCTTCAAAACTTAAGGAAGATTAGTCATTTTTGTAACAGAAAAAAGGATCTAGGGCTAATATTGATAGTATTTGACTAATTTTGATATTAGTAGGGGAATTTGCATCTATACCCGCTTTTTGGGTCACGTTTTAACTTGTGCCCGCTTTGCAAAAAAAAATTGCAAGCGTACCCAGTTTTTCGCGTAACTTCAGCATATGGGGTTGAAGTAGCAAAGGCAATCACGCAAAACTTCAGCATTCTAGTAGACGGGCCAGAAGTAGCAAGTGTGCTGAAGTTTTTGTTTGTAATTGCTGAACTTAAGCATAGTAGCTGAAGTTTTGTTCTCTATTTGCTGAAGTGTTTGTTTGTAATTGCTGAACTTAAGCATAGCAGCTGAAGTTTTGTTCTCTATTTGCTGAAGTTTTTGTTTGTAATTGCACTAAATAAGCTGAAGTTTTTTATCCTGGATTTATTAGTTTTGTCATTAAGCTTTTTCAAAAACTTCAGTAGAAGATGCTGAAGTTATTTAGTCCATTTATAAAAACTTCAGCACTAAATAAGCTGAAGTTTTTTGTCCTGGATAAGCTTTTTCAAAAACTTCAGTAGAAGATGCTGAAGTTATTTAGTTCATTTGTAAAAACTTCAGCACTAAAAGCTGGAGTTTTTTTGTCCTGGATTCATTAGTTTTGTCATAAAGCTTTTTCAAAAACTTCAGCAGAAGATGTTGAAGTTATTTAGTTTATTTGTAAAAACTTCAGCACTATATAAGCTGAAGTTTTTGAAAAAGCTTTCTAACATACTAGATAAATAATCAGATTACCAACAGTATCTAAATCATAAATTTTGGAAACAATAAACGTGAAAAGAACAGAATTATCATTGTCTACTAACTTACGTACGTGGAAATATTCACAAATTATTGTCTACTAACTTATGTAATTATTTATAATTTGTTTTTAAATAATCTGATAAACATATTTCTGGCAATCATCCCATGAACTAAAGTTTCATAGCAGCACTACCAGCAGCAGAAGAAAGAAGAAGAAGAAGAAGAAGAAGAAGAAGAAGAAGAAGAAGAAAACGAAGGAGGAGAAGGAGGAGGAGAAAGGAGGCTGAAGTAGTTTAAAAAGTGGGTACAAGTTAAAACTTTTTTAAAAAAAATGGGTATAGGTTAAATGGGGGCGACCAAATAGGGCGCCTGTCGCGCCCCCTTTTTCCCCCTCCTCGCGGGGGAGAAGTCCGGGTTTCGACATTCACGGGGTGTAATGACTCATTTCCTTTTGGGAATTGGGTATTTGAAGAGTCGCCACCTAACGGATTATGGTGCGTTAGGGCACCTAGAGCGATTAACTCTTGGGTTGGTTTGCATTACCAGAGATTAGGGTAAGGGCTCGAAGTAACCTCGAGGGGAAGGTGTTAGGCACCCCTTTTGGTCCACAACTGTGGGTCCCGGCCGAACTTATATTCACAAATTAGTCCATAAATAAACAATTGAAGCAAGTAATTGCAAGTAGAGCATGTTGGGCATTGTATAAAAATAAGAATTTAAACAGGTTGTGAAAAAAAAGGAAAAAAAATAAAGTTTCAAGCAAAAGGATTTGGGGGAGAGGGAGGTCCTAGGTTGGTTAGCCTATAGGATCATCAGTACAATGCCCGATAATCACTCCTTGAAAAGGGGTTACGCGTGGCATTAGCGCACCGGTCATCATATCCACGTCTACCCTTCCCATCCCCTTATTGGTCATGCAAAGCGAGTGTCGGTCACGGATTCCTATTGCGTGCTGCTACCTGTCCCTTCTTAATGGTCCCGGAGGGAGTTAGGACCTCTACCTATAGGTAGTTCTAGACAAACCCCTAAGGTTTTAAAGGTGAAAATTCTAAGGCGACAAGCAAAACAATTAGGACTTTGAGCAAACAAGAACAGGAAAGAGTAGATAAAGGCTCAATTTTCCTCCACAAGTAAACGTACAAGCAGCATGACTCAAACACAGTTAAGGTCTCTATTAATCAAAGTCCTAAAACAGGATCTCTAAGTGATGATGCGAAAATAGACCACATTTTATACCCAGAAGTTATAACCTAGAAGTTGTTGATACCCAATTTTTTCCCGTATATTTTTTATATGCAAAATACTTTCAAAATAGCATATGTATGCATATATAAGTATGCCCAAGTGTTTTAGTATTTTTTCTAATTTTTAAAGGATTTTTAAATCAATTTATTGCCCATTTTAGCAGTACAAAAACCAATAATTATTCCCAAAATTATCATTTTTGGTGAATAACTTATTTTTATTCTCATATTTATACCAAAATGTAGCTAGGGTAATTTTTATACATTCTTACAAATTTATTTGGTATTTTAAAAGCCAAATTGCATATAATTGCAATTTTAGCCTATTTTCAGAATTAGCAGCATTTTATAATTATGAAATTGGTTCCAATATTTTTATATTATTAACTGATCCAGTACTTTTAATTTGTTTTCAAAATCATTTTTTACCATTTTATAAATTTAAAGGGAAAAACTAGTTATTTAAAATATGGCCCCATTTCATTTCAATTATGGCCCAAATTGATCCCCCTAATTGACCCAATTTCAAACCCTTAATAGACCAACCCAATTTCAATCCAACCCGCCTCCGACCCAACCAATTTAACCCGCCCGGCCATCTCTTCTAATCCAGGCCGTTGATCATTTTGATCAACGGCCACAATCATTCCTTGGCTTTTTAATCCCCAAAGACTACCCTAATCCCCCTCATTCTCTTCTATCAGCCGCCTCTGAAATCCCTCTCCTCTCAAACTCTCTCGAACTCTCTCGAAACCCTAGCCTCTCTCATCATCTTCAACCTCAATCTCACCGGAATCCGTGGACTCTCAGGCCAGGGATAGCTTAAAATCATCTCCCTTTGCTCTTAAACACTTGGTATTCGAAGGTTCGAGGTCTGACCTCGAAGGTTTTCGTTCAGATCTTCGCCGATTCAAGGTTCTATGGCCATCTCCGGCCCAGCTCCGGCACACTATGGTGTTTTGAGCCTGGTTCTGACTTATCCGACTCATATCGGACCTTTTCCGAGCCTTTCTCGTTTTAGGGTTCCTCTGAAACCCTAGCTATTCGAGGTTTTCTCTGATTTTTTTCTTAATCTGTTACATATTTGTGCTCTACTTGAGTTTTTAAACGTTTTCCCCAATTTTTCTTTCAAAAATTACTTCTTTCCGATTTAGGGTTTTCTGAAAAGCTTAAAATGTTTCTCTGACTTTTCTTTTTCTTTGTGTGTATTTGTCTATACTATGTTCTTATGTTTTCTTTTCTACCACGCATGTTCTTCTACTGTGTTCTTATGTTTTCCTTTATTATGCATGTCCTTCTGTGCTTTGTTTTTCTACTGTGATACCTATATGTTCTTTTGCTATACTTTTCCGGTATTTTTGTGTTCTTCTACTGTATGTATTTCCTACTGAGTTCTTAAGTTTGTTTGCCTTCTACTGAACTTTTCTTGAGTTCTTCTAAAAGACCTCTCTAAACATATTTCCACTATTATGTTCTTAAGTGTTATTGTTTTCTCTTCTACTGAACCCTGTTTAAGTCCCTTCTAAAAGGTTTTTCTTAAACAAGTTTCTTCTACTACCATGTTGTTCTCTCATTAATGCTTTGAGTTAGTTTCTTCACTCTGTTTGCTGTGAATTTTCTGTTGTATTTGCTTGTCTTCTCATGAGATTCTGAAAAGTAATCTCTGAGCCTGTTGCCTCCTCATCTCTGTAATTGACTCGAGTCAGAAACCCTAGAATTTGGGGGGTTTCCTCCGAGTTTGGTCATATGATCAGACTAGGGTTCTGTTTGAGAACGCTGGACTATTTCAGACTTATTTCTGAGTCTATGAACTAAGTTTGAACTTCT